CCCCTTCCAGGAGAGATGATCTTGACACCATGCAAGACGTGCAGCTCTGTGACGTATCAGTAGAGGTGGTGTTAAAACTGGACGCCTGGATTTGATACCAGCACCCGTGAGGCAGTTCCTGCACTCACATTCGTATGCGTGACTGCTCTCAGTTGAAGTCGCAATGCTCCTGCTGTTGTACATATTTGGCCTAAAGCTGTCAGGAAAACATATTAATGGTCCTCCCCTCTGCTGGTTGAGCTTGGTCTGCCTGAATAACCAAAATCTGGCAACTCCTCTGATGGCTATCATATCTTGCAGACATGCGACGGACCTTCCTCTGTCCCAATTGGACAATGGTCGTCTTGGTGCCATGGTGGTTAAATCAATGCATGACAAGATTCAGCAGTGTCAACCTTCATGCCCTCGTGTGCAGCACATCCACAGACATCATGGCAAGCATGAGAATTGGTGTCCTCCTTATCCTGACACCAGACTTTGACATTTTGTCAAATTTCAACCAACAACTGATCTTCGGACCAGTCTCACAAACACAACCAAAAATATTGGCAGTCAAAACTCGTATCGGATTGTAATATAAGGCATTGGTTACATACAGTATTCAATTATTTTATTATTGTATTATACATTTATATACCGCAGGTATCCAGGTATCAGCATCTGCTCAAATGCGGTTTAATTGTTTCCCGACCCGTGGATCCGTTCGCATGCCAGTTATCATTCTCAACGCCAAGGGAGTTTACAACCCAAGCTGCCTTTCGGCGCTAGAAGGATTTTACATCCACCTCACATATCCCCCTCATTTATTCCCTGCTGACTGACAAAGGCACATTTGAACAAAGTCACTTGCCCAGGGTGACACCAGAAGTTTTGACACTTGTGTTTCGGGTGTCTGTACGTATTCGTGTTTCCACCGTCTGGTCATCTACCATCGGACGAGTGGGTTCTTTTGAGTGCACAGGGTGTGTGTACTGTACACTAGGGGTGGTGACAACACTGTATTGACCCTGTAAACATTGTTGGTCCCAAGGCTGAATAACAACCCGGTCACAAGAGGGATGCGATCTCAGCACCTGGCGCTTGCTAGTCTGGCGCTTTTGACCGCTTGCCCACCCCGCCCCCGTGTGCTTATTTCAAGACATATACCTACGTGAATGTAAAATAGTTAAACATGTGGGTGTTCCCATACTTTTTTGAATGAGTAGATAACGTTAGAGATATTGACAGTCATATGCACTGTGTCGGCCTTGACGTTGTTTTGAATATCATATTCTCATTTATTCTGAGTGTGTCCTTTTGCAGTGTGCTTATTGACCACAGGCGACACAGCTCAAGAAATTATATGTTACGAAGATATAGAACAGAGATCTAGCTAGGAGCTGGCATTTTTCAGTGTATTGGGAGTGCAGTGGCTGCATGTACATGTAGGTAGATATTTGATGTATCATCGGGGCAGTAGTGCCTACATGTAAATATACGAGTGGTGGCAGTTGTGAGCCTAATTACGAAAAATGCATCGGGCACCCTTAACAGTTTGCATGTATTAAGTACAATACCACCCATGTTTACAGGCTGCATTTGAACCATATACATCAAAGTGACTACGAGGTGATCCTAATGTATGTTGATGAAAATGACTGCTGTGCGGTCATCTAGTGTCTTCATACGTCATCCTGAGGCGGATATGAAGTCGACAATAACGTGAACACTTTAACCAGTGGGCTACCCAAACCGCCCTTCATTCAGAGAGGAGTGAGTGAGTGATTTGGGTTCAACGCCGCTTTGAACAGTATTCCAGTTATATGACGGCGTGTCATCGTAATGTGGGAGGGAAGCCCGAAGTGATGCAGGTCCTTATTGTGGTGAAACACACGAGCATGGGTATGGTGCTGACAACACTAGAACGATAGTCAGGGCGAACCGGGTTTCGAACCCACAATCATAGATCTTTTTTGCGTGTCCAAGGGACTACATTCTGCACAGCCATTGTGGCGCCTCAGACGACTGAGATATTAGACATCTCTCCCAATCACATTTAAATCGGATCTAAGTTCTCGCTGCCGCTAAACAAAGATCTGAAGACATCCAATTACGGGTCACGTCAGAACGACCTTTCGCTAACTTTGACCGACCACTGAAACGACTAACAAGAAGTCGACATCAGCCAATTAGAAAGCAGCCTTCTCGAGCTTTACGGCAGTCGTTTCAACTTGGTGACTTCTATTTCAGACTACGCTTGAAAAATATGTTGACACAGTTCTCGATTAAAATATTGAAAACTGAACAAACGAACATTCATGAATGTCTAATATATGGTTGCGATTGTATGGCAGTGCTTCCCACGTACTGTGCAACGCTTCCTCCGTTCAAATGTTTATCCCACGGAAGCGAGAAACAGACGATAATTTTGACGGAATCAGTCGTACAGGCCGTAACTGTAGTTCGGAATACCCCGTATTAACGTTTTCGGGGTTGCATGCTCAGAAAACAGATTCCGACTGTCACTTTCATGATCTGGTAAGCGACGCTTTGATTGGTCGGATGAAAGGTCTTTCTGACGTGACCCGTAATGGGATGTCCTCAGATCTTTGTTTAGCGATAGCGAGAACGAAGATCTGATTTTAATGAGATTGGAACAGACCCGACTGAATTTGTTCAGCGATTTGTGACCATGGATCAATTTTTTGGTTCACCTCTATCAGAGAGACAGACTAAACATCAGTCAAAGGAGAGGTAACATTTAACGTCTCCTCCTTCGAAAAAGGCATTGTCTGTTCCATCAGCAAGCACCGTCAGATTTCCACCTCTTCCCAAACGTGGAGTAAGAACTGTCTGGCAACATTATTCAAATGACGATGACGTCATTTCTGCTTTACACCTGTTCATCATTTCTCAACATAACTTCATCCACTTCTGCGGATGAAGTTATGTTGAGAAATGATGAACAATCAACGCAGTCCATCATAATGTGGCTCAGCACTGCTTATCCATCTCTCGTTTCTCAGATAAATCTTTCGGGGAATAGTACATCCGTGTAGATAAATAAAATAATAATTTTTATAAGATGTGTATCTGCCATATAGCTGGCATTTCCTTTGGGAAAATGATGAACAATCAAGGAGAGTCCATCAAAGCTTAGCTCAGCACTGTTCATCCACCCCTCGTGTCTCAGATAAATCCTTCGGGGAATAGTACATCCGTGTAGATAAATAAAAAAGATGTGTATCTGCCATATAGCTGACATTTCCTTTGGGAAAATGATGAACAATCAAGGAGAGTCCATCATAGCTTGGCTCAGCACTGTTCATCCACCCCTCGTTTCTCAGATAAATCTTTCGGGGAATAGTACATCCGTGTAGATAAATAAAAAAGATGTGTATCTGCCACAGAGCTGGCATTTCTTTGGGAAAATGATGAACAATCAAGGAGAGTCCATCATAGCTTGGCTCAGCACTGTTCATCCACCCCTCGTTTCTCAGATAAATCTTTCGGGGAATAGTACATCCGTGTAGATAAATAAAAAAGATGTGTATCTGCCACAGAGCTGGCATTTCTTTGGGAAAATGATGAACAATCAAGGAGAGTCCATCATCGTTTGGCTCAGCGCTGTTCATCCACCCCTCGTTTCTCAGATCATCTTTCGGGGAATAGTACATCCGTGTAGATAAATAAAAAAGATGTGTATCTGCCACAGAGCTGGCATTTCTTTGGGAAAATGATGAACAATCAATGAGAGTCCACCATCGTTTGGCTCAGCACTGTTCATCCATCCCTTGTTTCTCAGATAAATCTTTCGGGTAATAGTACATCCGTGTAGATAAACAAAAAAGATGTGTATCTGCCACAGACCTGGCATTTCTTTGGGAAAATGATGAACAATCAAGGAGAGTCCATCATCGTTTGGCTCAGCACTGTTCATCCATCCTTCGTTTCTCAGATCATCTTTCGGGGAATAGTACATCCGTGTGGATGAATAAGATAAGATGAGTGTATCTGTTATATCGCTCGCATTTCTTTTGCGATTCTCAGTTCAACATATAGATGTGCAGCCGTTAGATGAGGGAACAGAAATGACATTTAGTTGCATATCCAATGGGTATTGAGAGATCCCCTAAAAGTGTTTATCACTAGTGTCAACATGTTTTCTACCTTTTCAAATTGCATACACATCGGGTATTGCCCCATCATCCCGCATTCGCTCATACACCCGCTGTCATGAAGTTTTCAAACAGATTGAATCATTTAATCACTCCGACTATCGCTGTCATACAGCTTTTCGACTTATCAATCATTCAACCACTCACACAATCGCAGTTACAAGTTGACAGTAAGGAATATTTTCGGAGAGCAGAAGACACAGGGGCAAGTATTGATGACCTGTTGAATCTAGACAGATAACTTGAGTTTTACAGTGTACAGTTAAAAGCTTTATTCAACTCAAACGAAGGGGTTAAGTGTCGATAAACTGCACACAATAGCATAAAGCTTATCTGAAGGATTTATTGAAAAGGTTATAACCCTAATATGCCAATCACATACACTTGATTAGTATTAGAATCGGTCTTTGAATTGCCTAACTTCATCATATTAACTCAATCAATTTCTGTCGGTATCGGATTCCGGTGCTTAGAACATTCCAAGACATTCTAATTCCCGTCTACGTCGCAATTGCCGACTCATTTTCATAATGCACTATCCTGTCTTCATATTTGCAGGGATGGCGTTCTTCTTTTACGAACATGAGAGGGATGGTTCGTGATGATCACGAACCTACGAATGTGCTCATGTGCCGTTAATAAGTCTCCAATTATCAAAAAGACGATCTCGTAATATTATATCTGACAATTTCTCTCGAAGCCCAGTTTTTACCTATACATGTATACATGACACCAAACAAGCCAATGTGTTGGCTTTTAATCGAAACGCGCCCTGTGGCCGTGTAGTGTGATCTGCAAGACGTGGGTGTGAATGAAGACTACCTTCATAAATGAGGGAGCAGGGCGATGGTGGTAGGTAGCACCACAGGCCCGGTGACCGAGGTAGTAGAGAGCGGAAACAGCATGCATACATCATACCGGCACCACAAGAAGAACAGGGCGGATCTACCACCGGTAAGAAACTTGGCACCAAGTGTTTCTTTGCCTTGTTGATTGTCCGTAGTTAAAACATTACAAGAGCCATACGGTTTTTACTTTGGTTTTAGAAATCTTTAGACTTCACCTGCGACTGGGCTGTCACAAATTCCATTAAAAACGTTTCTGTTTATGAAATTGTCTTCAAATCGAAATAGTTGTTGGGGAAATAGTGACTTTGATGGTTTGTGGGATGAAAAGGGTAAAGAAGCAACCAATTGTTTTTAAAGTTTTATTTTACGTAAGTGAAGAAATTTACGTAAGACACACAACAAAAGGTTTTTGTTGTGATGATACCATATTATGTATGAAGTGGTGGCGGTGCCATTTGTACAATATCTTGCCTTCTCTTCAGAACGTTTTCCAAGCCTCACGCTATGATATACCCTTTACTGGTGTATTTCTTTAGCTGCGGGCAACGGCTAGCGCGAGCTACATTAGTTTCCATGGTGATGGTTTATAATGAAAAGGTATGATGTAATGCTGTCTAATTAGCGTCTGTGACAATAGTAGTACGCTCGTGTCTTGGTGCCTTAGACTTGGCGACAATGCAACCGCCCCTTTCTTATTGTCGGGTGAATTTGAGAAGGGTTACACGGGAGTCGGAAAATGATGTAGCAAATAGCATCCCTTATATAATCAATCGTACCAGAATCCGACGATGGTGGTTTCTTTCCCAGATGTTCCCATCTTATAATCCTTTGTCTGCCAGCTAAAAACAAATGTGGTTGGTTGGTTTCTTAAAAGTGGTGAATAGCTAGGACTTGCATCGCTTACTTTTTGACCCACTCTTGGCTGATACACCGTTATATAATTAAATTGTATTGTTGAAAGCGGCCAAGGCGAAACCAAACTCACTCACTCACTCGCTCGCTAAGGTATCCCCCGTTGATATACATGTTGTTTCAGAAGTAGTTATTCTTGTGATGCGTATGGCCGTGGAAACTGTAGTTTCTATTGTCCGATGCGAGTGAGTGAGTGACTCAGTGAGTTAGAAGAGTGATGCGAGATAGATTTGTCGAATTTACTTGTCTTCAATTGTCATACAACTCACTATTTCATCGGAACACACGTCTGTAGTTGTACGACTATTCACACCATGGGACCCGTGAAGATCCGGGGTAGAATTTGTCTTCAGCAACCCATACTTGTCGTAAGAGGTGATTAACGGAATCGCTGACTTGGTTAATGCATGCCATCATATCCACATTGCTTGGATAGATGCTCATGATGTCAGTCACTGGATAGTCTGTCCAGACACGATTATTTACAGACCGCCGTCATATAGCAGGAATACTGCTGAGTGCGGCGTTAAACAACAAACAAACAAACACACCGTGGACGGGCAGTAATCAGTAACTTACATACTACCGTTTAGCTCAGGTGATTAGAATTATAGAGTTCAGAGTGTACTCATTATGCCGGAGTAGCGAGATCCGTGTTAATACAACCTCTTTCACCCAAAGTCATGGATCACAAGTATCCGTCTTTTGGGCCATAGTTACGATAAGGATGTTAGGAGCACAACAAAATAACATCGTCTCGAACAATTGATCGAGTCTGGAGTCCAAGTTATATATTTTTCTTTCCTTCACGGAACCTCTGCTGTGATATGACCAAAGGTGACGGTAGTCCCTTTTCGATCCATTTCCTATCGTCATCTGAGTACTGACAAAGCTGAAGTAATGTAGACTCATGTTTCAAAACAAAATGTACAAAGCAAACCTAAACAAATACATGTTTCTCGTTGTTTGAACAGGGATGAAGCTTGTGCAAATGGAAGCAAGAGTCTGGAGGCGTCATTTGGCCTTGACTAAAAAATATAACTAAGAGATTTAAGCTTTTTATATCTTGGAAATACATCATATCTTCCGTTCTGTGGAACCCTTCTTCCTTGCACGTAAACACGGAGTTGTAATTCAATAGCCGACAGACCCCAGGCTCTCTATCAGGTACGGGAGACGTTCATGAAGCGAAAATAGGAGCGATTTTCATTTACTAATGATATATATCTTTCTGTTAAAAGTTCCAGCCTACATATACGTCATTGAACGAGAAGCTCACTGGATGCAAAATCACCAGGTTTAGATTTGTCGAGAGCGCGTTCTAATTATTAAAATTGTGCTCTTTTTAGGAAAGACGTTGTATTTTAGCTTTCGGATTTACGTAGTGAAACATTTGGAAGGTCGAACAATAAAATAAAATGCATTATGCATGGTTTGTTTTAATCATCTTACAGTTTGATTTGGATTTCTAGGTGATTAAAGTGAATTACAATCTTGGCCTGGTTTGGTTCCTTATGAGTATAAATCTAAAATCTGACAAAGACATTATTATTGTCAGAACGATCTTTACCGTCGGTGGTATAAATTAAAAACCCTTGACATTTTTATTTGATTTGTTTCTGAATGTTCGGTTTTAAACGTCGTCGGATCCCTAAACCAAACAAGATTAAATGTTGGGCCTCATTAAAATACTTAAATGTGTAATTGAGGTGAAGGCCGACCGCTTTCGAAAGTGAGTATTGTCTTATACCGCTTTTAGCAATATTCCAGCAATAACACGGCGGGGGCACCAGAAATGGGCTGCTTTCTAAAGAGTGATAGTGTTTTAATATAATGAATTATATATTTCATGGTCTGTTATTTGAATTTTGCACTTTGAAAAGTGATGTTGAAATATCTGGTTATGCTGATTCTCAATAAAGGCGTAGAGAAGTTTAGAACTTTCAGGCGTCTCTAATATTTTGTTATCTCAGTACGCATTAAAACGTCATTAATCCTGACTTGAAAAGTGGTTTGGCTTATATTAAGAATATGTCAGTGTCAGTTTGTAAAACAATAAAGTCTACATCGTCATAATTATTACGTCGTTTGAGTTCGCGATAAATTCACATTAATACATGAGCCCATTTTTATAAGAATATATAGTATAGGCAAGACAAAAGGAGAAATATAAGTAATTTGCCGGTGCCTTCGTTCAGACATATTTCTACTTTATTCGTATAAAATACATTAGTTGGGCTGATGCTTGTCTATGGGAACGTAATGATCTATTACTGTAGTGCAGTGTTTCAATGACCAAAGGCAATACATCGATACGAATACCATGTCGATGAAATCGATTCCCCACCAGGCTATTGCTTTAATAGATATCTGTGTAGCATAATGAATATCGTCGTGTGGTCACCTCTGATTAATGGGGGCGTGGTAGCTTAGTGGTTAAAGCGTTCGCTCGTCACGCCGAAGACCCGGGTTCGATTCACATGGGTACAATGTGTGAAGCCCATTTTGGTGTCCCCCGCCGTTATATTGCTGGAATATTGCTAAAAGCGGCGTAAAACCCATACTCACACACTCTAATTAATAAGTAAATATTTGGGTTTAATATGTTAACACATGTGTACATACCTCTTTTTATACTACCATATAGTATTTCCATAACAATCTACTCAACCTATTGGCCGCGTCATACTAAAACACGTTAAAAGATGGCACTTGTTGTTACCCTGTCTGGCGCTCGGCATTAAGGGGCTAAAACAAGGACTGGTCGGCTCGAAGTCAGTATACTGTGTCTGAGTGGGGATATTCATCTTAAACTGCGGCATGGTATCTCAGTGGGCTAGCACTATAAATCAGCATCAGTCCGGACTAGTACAAGCAGGCACACACATACGCGCGTGCATGCACGTCGCTATATAAGTGCAATAATCTTGGACGCGACGTTAAACCCAATTTCACCTCACCTCACCTCACTCAACCTATGAATGTTTCCAATAAAGTCACGGAATCTGCTTTGGTGGATGGTTCATCAGTACACTATAGTGCTTGTAGTATCCTAATATATACCGAGCTAAAATGGTTCGGGCCATACTGATGGAAATATATAAGGGAACACTCAGTTTTCGACACGGTAAAATATGCTATCATGGGTTTCCAGCCTTGTCTACCAAATACGCATTGGAAAAAATGCACACAAACACATCTTTGCATTTGATTCGGACATGTTTTGAATTTGTATGCGCTCTTTTTCAAATGTACTGACAGTAAAGCTTATTTCCCTAAATGTTTCATTGTACCCTAATTCGCTTCTATCATTATATATTTTGGGGATATTATGCAAGTGAAGGCCGAGCACATAATTTTTTATTTCCATATGAAGATATTTCCTGATCTTGAAATCGTGTTCAGTATAGTCCTTAATTGTAGAATACTATCAATACAGTTACAATGTCCTCAGTAGCCACCTATATATACTTGTTTAACAGTAAGATATGCATTCACCATACTTCATAACCATGCATATTATAGGCGCGTTTATAGTCTTGTTATGTTACATGTATTGACCATCTCAATGTCAGCATTCCTTTGTGTATTATTAGGGTCCTTATTGAGGTTTTACCTGCCGGAAACTGTGGAGTTTATGACGCACCGGCATACCTGTATGAGCGTTCTATATTGAAGGTTCTCGTCCTCAAAAGTCCATGCTTCCACTTCTCCTGCTGACAGTGCAAGAGCTCATTGTATTGATGTCACATTTGTCAACGCTTCGCTAATTAGTAGAGGACAGATGACAGTCCATGCAGTTAGTCTGTGTGCTTTGTCCTACTCCTTCGTCAATAGAAGAAAGGCTGTCGGGGACTTTGCAAAATTGATGGAGTGTTCGTTTCAAACCTTCCGTCTGCGAAGAGCGCTCATTCAATTTGTCAAATATATATTCAGAAATAATTCCATTAGATGGCTCCCGATTGTGTAATTAGGGGAGACTGTATAATGCGTGTTGGTGTGATATTGAGTCATAAACACATGCTTATGATATAGTCGGAGTCAATGGACTGCTTTTATCAAAGATTTCTTATGGTCACTGAAAGGGTTTTGTCGCTTTTATTGACATAGCAAACATTTGTGTTACATTGTTCTTTGTTGTACATATGTATGCGAACAGGCCATGACTAGTCCACCGAAGACATCCAACAATCA